CCTATTTACTGTGACAAGAATCAATATTTATTCTGAGACCCGAACTCTCATTCTAAACTCTAATTTCTTTAAGAAAAAAGTTGTACAACATAGAGAAAATGCAGGTACAAAAACTGGTCCGAATTACGGCCAAAATAAATAAGGAAATGTTAAGAAAATACTACGAGATTACAAAGCGGGAATTCAATGTTAAAAGAAAACATAATTGACTTCACCATACATGTGAGAAAATTAAGCTTTAAGGAAAGTTATAAAGTTATATTGGCCCGGAAAATGTGCCTAGTATCATAGTAAATTGTTGGTTTTTTTTTCCTGCAATTATGATAAAGCCGTAGACAGTCACATCACAAAGCACGAAATTCTCGAAATTTGCATTTGGCGTATCTAGCCTTGAAAACATAAATGGAAAATATTCGAAATGGATTAGCAAACAATGCGTAATTTGTTTGTATGATCGCAGAAGTGTTGATGACTCACCACAAAGGCAAATCAATATATAGAAATAGGAGCAATTAAAAACCACAAGTGTTCCCTAACCTGACGTGGCCTTATGACAGCGAATTTCCTAGATCAAATTGGAACTTTAAATTCCCAGTTTCCATGACTCGCAGACGTAACCATATGTTTGAGAATACTAGTTGCCCATGCTTTCACCAAAATTTAACAAACGTTATGTTGCGGTCCTATTTTATCTTTGGTTTAAACTCCATTTTCTATTGTTTCGAACTCATTTATCAGAAATTCCCAAAGAGGCAAAATACAAAGGGAAACCAAAACAAGGATAAAATTGAACCAGAGTGTATACACTTTTCACCAAAACGTCACACAGGAATGCTTACAAAAGATTTCTTTATGAGTATTCATTTTTGAGAAGAGAAAAGTACTTGATGCAGGATCAAACTCACCTACTGAACATACATGCAAATTTGTTATTGAAAATTACAAAGGGTATTTGATCCCATGTACATCTCGATTATCAGTGGATTGCTCGGGTATTTAGGTATAATATCACCGTAAAATTTACTATTGCATAATGGTTCAGAATAAAATACCGTGCGTCAAGCGTATTGGGTCTGTATCCATTGGTCATTAATGTCTGACGCAACTGATAAAAAGGAAATGAATTCCGCCAACCTTTGAGGGGCTTGAATGAAACTGCATAAAGAAGTTGATCAAACTTAATTTTGGACAACAGAGACCAAAACGCGCAAACACAGTACGTATAATTTTGAAAAGCCTAAATGACAGTAAGATATAGAGTGGTAAGAGTCGAAAATTAAAAGTGAAGATCTCTGTTTTGGAAAAGCATTTTTTTCTTCACTTGAAGGCCACTGTTAATCCTTTCAATGGTCTACTGGCTTTGAAAAGATCAATGCGCCTTTTTGACTCTCTAGAAATTTTCTGAATGACAATAAATCCCCAAATCGAAAACAATAAGCACAGAGGAGATTTATCAAAGGAATGTACACTTGAGCGCAGGTTTAATTTGGAAAGTTGAACTTAAGGATTTTGTCCACGAACGCACATATAATTTGAGTTATCAGTATCAAATTCAAATGGATGACCCAATATTTTTGTTAAAACATTCAGAAGTAATACCTACGCGAACATCAAGGTACCATTGTGAAAAGTTCTTAAAGAACTTTAATTGAATTGCACTCTGTAAAATATTTTGCATGTTTTCGAATTGTTTCTAAGGACAATGCCTTCTTTTCTTTTACTGATTATCTTACGTTGCTTTTCAATTCGCAAGCTTCAAAGTCCAAGTTATAATGATTCCACTCAAATTTCCACCCAGCCGCGAAGGTAATTAGATTTCCAAGAACAAAAGAGAACTTCTAGAAGTCAGGGGCACTCAACGACGGTTTCCTCCTAAATACATTGGAGTCGTTTTTTAGGCTATCCACAGTACTTTAAGATCTCTAGAAATGCATTCTAAGGAGTGCAATAAAATTTGTACCTGTTCGGTCATCCTAGGGGAACTTGAGTCTTTTCGAAAACAAGGGCTTCTGTATTATTTTGCAGAAAATTTTTTTAGATGCAACTTAACGTATTATGAAAGTGAGAATTTTTCTGATTCCTCTCTCCATTACATTTTTCAATCCGAAAATTTTAGGTTTCCTTTTTGTACGAAAAATAGCCTTACCTGGGCAGTGAAATGTTAAGAATTAAAATTCAGAAAATCGTAGGGAAATAATTAGATAAACTTCGAAAATTGCACATGAATGGAACAGGCATCTAGAAATTTTAAACCGTTCTCAAGCAATAAAGAATTCTAGGCAGCTTTGCTTCTCCGAACAGATATTTTACAGAAAACAGTCGTTGGGTGCCACTGAGAAGTCGCTTAAATCGGTGATGGACAAAGAAAGATGGAGAGACAGAGCATGCGAAAAAGCGTCACTCAGAGTTCAGTAACCGTCTGGAAATTGTTGATGACAGACTGGGATCAAATAAAAGAGTTAAAAATGATACTAGGCTTGTCTTCATTATCAATTCTCTTTTCAAAAACGGACATAGGGCAGGTATTTTATTGCATTCATTCTAAAATCAAATATATTGAGAATACCCGAACAATGCCGCAGCATTTTCCCTCCGGGCTGTATATAATGCATCAGTGAATCCGTTCACGAGGCAAATAGCAAATAGCATCACTCACCTTGCTGGACCTCTTGAAAATGACCTGTTTGATTGTGCAGTATACCACGTATTATAGTCATCTATGCTAGAGCGTACATCTAGTACTAAGTTTGTTTTTCCAGTGTTTCTCGTATCCCTTTGAAAAAAAAAAGAAAATAATTCTGTCAATCAGAGAGTTCACAAGAAGTAGAAATACAACCAGCCATTTCCTATGATATCACAAACCACTCCCAACCTCTTAAAAAAGTTAAGTCATTCAGTGCCGAATCCAGACCTTTAGATAAAAAGGGGGGGAGGGGGGTCATCTAGACCCTTAGAAAAGGGGGTGGGGTTTGAAAAAAATAAGGTCTAAAAATAAGGCTAAATATTACGCTATATAATACTGCATTTATTCGATTAACCGCCCTGGGCGCTTAGTAAATTTTTGGACCTTGAGAGTGGGCGCTTATTCGAGTTTGGGCGCTCATTAAATTTTCATCATTTTCAGCAAGTGAAGTATGTTTATTTTGCAACAAAACAATAAATGCTAATACCAAAACGCGAAGACGTAACAAAGCAAGGTTTCTGTAAAATACTCTGAAGAAAACTCCGTCCTCGGGGAAGTCTCTTATTAGAATTTATTCACTTAAGTGGGTGGGGTGGGGGTGAGCGCTTATTTGAGTTTGATTGGGAGGAGGAGGGGTGGGCGCTTATTAACTTTTTCTGCCTTTAGGATGGGCGCTTATTCGAGGTGGGCGCTTATTCGAGGTTGGGCGCTTATTCCAATAAATACGGTAAATCGGGTTGTTGCAAATTGGCTGAATACTGACCTCTGATTGGATAAAATTAGGCGGGATTCAAGCCAAAGAAGGGAGTTACGTCCGACCTTGCTACAAAACAAGTTAGCCTTGGGCCGGTAAAACGTGCAACTACAGATTTTCAGGGAAAAAAGTAGGACTACTCCGTACGATCTGCAACAAGTTTTCGCGACCAGCAATAAACTAAGGGACTGTTCAATAATTACCTGGAAGGGGCAGGGGGGCTGGGAAATGGGTGAAATATGCCCCAAAAGTGAGTCGTACACCCCTCTCATTAAGCAAAAATTAATTTCAACCCCCCCCTCACATAATGATAATATTAAGGCTACCCCCCCCCGCCCCCTTGAAAAAAGTCTTCTCCCATTGATTCCCTCCTACCTAGTTTACTATTCAAAAATTCCTGTCTGATTGAGCTTTTTTTTTTTGAAGCTCAATTTAATCATACTGTGTTTTATTTACCATACTTTAAATTTGTATTGCTATTAAAATTTCAACAGTTGGGTTTTTCATTCTGCTAAATTATGAACATTGGCATCTTTCTTTTTCATTGAATAACATTATAGTGCCACTTTTGCAACTTTTAATTAAAGTTTCCTGTTTTATTAAATCCTAGTGCAAATAAAGTAGCACTGTTTTAACATATAACAGAGGCATTCCTTTCCTACTGCATGACAGATAGGAAAACAACAGTTTCATAGGTCAGAACACCTTAGAGTTGATATATTTGTCAGTTTTATTCCAATGTTAGTATTTACATTTGAACTCTAATAACTCTTTCACTACTTTTCCAGTTTGCAAAAAGGAATGAAAAAGTAATGCCCCCCCGTATGTATTAAATTTTACATCCAACCCCCCCTCTCTCTTGTTGTCATTTTCTGCTATGCTCCCCCCCCCCACACCCCCCTCCAGGTAATTATTGCACAGTCCCTAATTTATTGCAAGACACAGGTTTGATTCGTGGGGGGGCATAACGTGCAACATCGCATTTCAGCTAGTTTTGCACGTTTTTATTGCCTGTTTTAAGGTACCTATATGTCAGTAATGTACCTCATTTAAAGGGTTTAAAAAAGGGTCCTTTAATCCTGTTATTGTATAAGGCAAAAATTTCCCTAAATCCTGTAATTCCGAAGGTTTTCATCGGCAAGGCCCGATAAACGTACTTTAAAAAGTACCTGACACAGGTTCAAGATTCCGTCATTTTCCGTGGAAAAAATGGAAGACAGCAAGATGAAAGTGCCCGGGGTCCTGACCTAATATCGCTAAATTCATGTAAACTTTTTATAACTACAAGGGTCCACTTATCTGGCTACCATTCCCTCCAAAATCCTAAATCTTGGTCTTCAGATGGGCCAAATCACGAATCCAAAGATACTAATGTGTTGTTATTAGCAAACCAACAAAACTTGAAATCTTGTACGTTTGTTTACTACACTGTTTGTTTTTACAACAGAAAATGAGAACGATCGCGACTATTCCAAGAAGGATGAAGCAAGCGAGGCCTACGATGAGATTGATGAGGACGAACCAGAAAAAGAAGAAGCCGAACTAGATGATGAGGCCGAGAAAGCGGAAGATGTTGCAGAGGAAAAAAGCAGCGAAGAAAAATACGCGGATTTCTTTGATGATGAAGTAGCCGACGAAGATGAGGAAGACGAAAATAAGGCAGACGAAATGATGGAGGATTATTATGAGCCTAAAGATGAAGAAGATTATGCGGAAGATGATGTCGAGGATGAACAGCCCGAAGAAGACGAAGAAGTAGATGAGCCTGAAGAGGAAGATGAAGATGAGCCTGAAGAAAGTGATGATGAAGCTGAATATTGGGAAGATGAGGCTGAAGAGGCAGCCGAAGACAGGAAAGAAGAACAAGAAGATCTTGAGGATGAGGCAAAGGAAGATGAAGAAATGGAAGATGAGGCTGACGATGAAGCAGCGGAGACTGAAGACGAAGCCGATGATGCCGCAATGGAAGCCGAAGACATGAAAGAAGAACAAGAAGATCTTGAGGATGAGGCAAAGGAAGATGAAGAAATGGAAGATGAGGCTGACGATGAAGCAGCGGAGACTGAAGACGAAGCCGATGATGCCGCAATGGAAGCCGAAGACATGAAAGAAGAACAAGAAGATCTTGAGGATGAGGCAAAGGAAGATGAAGAAAAGGAAGATGAGGCTGACGATGAAGCAGCGGAGTCTGAAGACGAATCCGATTATGCCGCAATGCAAGCCAAAGAAATGAAAAAAATAAAGGAAGATCTTCAGGCTGAGGAAAAGGAAGGGGAAGTTGAAGAAAGCCAACAGACAAACAATGATGCTGAGATTGATGAGGACGAAGCCGATGATGCCGCAATGGAAGCCGAAGACATGAAAGAAAAACAAGAAGATCTTGAGGATGAGGCAAAGGAAGAGGAAGATGAAGTCGAGGAAAAGGAGGATGAAGAAAGCCAGAAGACAAACAATGATGCTGAGATTGATGAGGACGAAGCCGATAAAGCCGCAATGGAAGCCGAAGACATGAAAGAAAAACAAGAAGATCTTGAGGATGAGGCAAAGGAAGAGGAAGATGAAGTCGAGGAAAAGGAGGATGAAGAAAGCCAGAAGACAAACAATGATGCTGAGATTGATGAGGACGAAGCCGATAAAGCCGCAATGGAAGCCGAAGACATGAAAGAAGAACAAGAAGATCTTGAGGATGAGGCAAAGGAAGAGGAAAGTGAAGCCGAGGAAAAGGCAGATGAAGACCTTACGGTCAAGAATAAATTGATGGAGGACTACAAAAAATTGGGTAGGTAGCTCTTGATTACGATTGATTCATTAGTCCTTTATACGATGTATCGGTCACATTCAAAAGTGCTAGGCTTGAAAGTAATGGAGCAATTGCGGAAAATGAGCTCGTCTAAGGCGGAAGGGGTTAAATAATCTCAGAACCCACGAATGGAAAGTGTAGGCGAATGGTTAGTGAGCCATAGTCTTAAATATCGATTACCCTTGCTTGTTTAGATTAATTTATAACGAGCCCCTTATTTTAAATTAAAAGACTAAGTATTGTCGATTTGCTTAGCGGCACACTTATTAGAGGTCATTCCTACCGTCTAAATCATCCAGCAAAAAAGCCTAGTGAGTAAATAATTATCTCAGACACCTATCTGGGGTGACAGATATAGAGATTTTTGTATGACCTTGAAGTGAAAACGCGCGAACAAAACAGAAACAACAAACGAACGGAAATAGAGCGATTTGATTGGTTTGTCGAACGGATACAAACGCGCGTGGGTTTTGGTTGGTTAAGCGAACGCTCTGCTGAAAAACGTCATGCCCGAAGAACTTTCTAGAAACCAATCGATACCTCACTTTGACGTCATACTGCAACACGATTGGCCAATCGAACAATGCCTTCTCCATATTAGGGTTTTCTTGAGCGGGAAAACGAAGAGGTCATGTTTTGATCTGTTCATCCACTGGCTGATGAAACAAATAACGAACACTTACCGAAACCATTTTTCAAGGTCATACGAAAATCGCTCTAATCGGTTCTGTCCCTATTTTGTTTAGGTTTATTGTTTTTGACAAAGTTTGTTTTTTCTGCCACATTTCGTCCTTGTGAGGTCATATTCGCACCATGTAAGAGAATCCGCCTTCCGGAATCCGGGAAATTTCTGGTTGTAGAATCCGGAATCTGGAAAAGTTTTGCTTTTGGAATCCAGAATCCTGGGCTTTTGAATCCGAAATACCACTAACGACTGGAATTCAGAATACACTCTCAAAAACTGGAGTCGGCACCTGAAATCTGAAATGCACGGCGTAGAATCGAGAATCCAAGATTGTCTTGCATTCCCTTACGTGGGGCGATCATATTAACTACTCGAATACAATAAGATATTATGTACATTAATTACCGTTTAAAAGGGTCCTAACATTGGTTACATCTTTCGTTTAATTACAATTCAAAAATTCATAATAATCCATAAAGAAAAAACAAAAGAACTTAACGTTTTATGAGTGCCTTTATATCTGATAAAGACACGGCTAAACTTTACGTCCAATTTTTTGGATTAAAATAACCCCCAAATCTAAATCTAACAGGTGCAAGAATGAGTTGATCTGTATCAGAGGTTTTGAAGCTGTTCAAAAAACTCACAGTGTATTATCGGAACCTTAAATACACTCCTGATCGGTTTTTAAACAGTACAAAAAGTAATAATTTTTTGTTATCTTTTCAACAGAAGCCGACTTGGAAGACTTTAAGAAATATGTCAGCCCATCCGAGGATGAATGAACCTTAGTTATGAATTCAACAAATAAAGCTCGTAAATTTTCAGCTCCTTCGTATGGAAGCAATCAATCGCCAGTTGTTTATTCTTAAATACCTTTTCACGTTTCATAGATTCTTTTAATTTAGCATATAATCGCGAGTTTTTAAAACCAGTATCAAACAGTGTAAATTAAGGGTTGGCTGGTATTTTGTTATATTTCTTTAATAAACTAAGTTCGCTCGCAGCCAATATTATTGAGTGAAATTTTTCTCATTTTTTTTCAAAGTTAGTTAAATTTTTAAACATGTAGCAATAGTGTCAAGAGTTGATAAAAATTGTCTTGACTTGGCAATAAACATTTACGCCTTTTGGTAAAAAATGTGTATTTCTGTGTCTCAATACATATGGGCAGTTTGTTCTCTTTGTGTTTAGTTTTCCCAGTAACTCAATAGGCTGATTTAGCAACAGGACGGGAACGTCAGTTGGCGACGGGAAAGCTCGCGGAAAGGACTAAACACGACTTCCGGTGCCCAATTTGCCGCTCTGCCATTGGTCAAGCTAGTTGTTTGATTTGCGCGCGCCGTCGTTAACTGACGTTCCCGTTCTGGTACTAAATCAGTCTAATTATTAACCCTCGGATGTTCACGCAAAATCATACCCCCACCGTTCTCGACACCCGTGAGTTTTTTATGTTTCAGCATTTCGAAACGATTTTACCTTCAGTGGAAAGCTTTTGATCTTCTCGACAAAATGAGGTATATTTTATGGGTGATGGCGCTGCTGGAAGACTGTGACATCACCAAATATGGTCGCCATCTTGGATTTTACCCAGAACTATTAGAAATCATGTAAAACCCGAGAGAACAGTTATTTCTTTTTTGCTTCACATACAAAATAACACTTAATAAGTACTTTGCTTCATTTTACCCACAGGCTTTACTTTTATCGTTGAAAAAAAATTGAAAAAACACGCATTTTCACTCAAAAATGGTTTGATGCCAAATCTCGTAACCATAGAAACTGATCATCAGTAATCTTGTGTCAAAATACGTGCGAAGGATAAACAAACAGCTACAGAAAACGTCAGTTGTCGATGCTTGATCGTCTAGGAAAAGAACCAGAAAAACCTGAGAGGGGATTGCCCCCTCACCCAATCCCTTATAAGTCCGTTGTTAAACTTGACGCCAGCAAAGAAATTACTTTTAATAAACCAAACAAATATATGTCTCCCTAGAGTCATAACTTAGAGTCACAAACAGCAACGATAAGCTTGGATACAACTGCCAGGCTGAACAGTTTTGAACTCGACCTCATTGAGTACAACTCGCAATAGGCTTCAATTCGCCACTTTAGAAACGAGGAGGAAATGGAGCCGAAATTTGTCCCGCAAGTGTGTCTGGGGTCATTACTGGGGACTCGCTGGTCAGCTATTATGTGTTTTCACATGACGTCATGGCGGCCATATTTGTGTCCCAAAACAATGAAACGGCGGCCATGTTTGTGTCCCAAACCACTCCTATGGGAGTTGAACCCTTTTCTTATGTAAACGCGTTCTTTTGTTCCAATAAATTTGCATAGATGCTGGCCACGTGAGTGAAAACACAGAATAGACCTATTCGGCTAACTCAATGTTGTAACCAATTCAAATCTCCCGGGGTTAAAATTTTTTGTGTACTGTATTTGCATTATAATGTGGCATTCACATTTAAATGATATGGAAATTGGTGGCCTCTCTTTATAAGCCTGGTGGTTTCTTGAGGTCTCCTCGCCTAACAACCTGCTGTATCCTGTAAAATTTGCTGTAAAAAAAAGGCTAATAAAAATGATGATGATGATGATGATGATGAAATTCCTGAAAGAAAACGTTGTATTCCCAAAGGGTTTGAATTGGTCACAACATTGAGTTAGCTGAATTGGTCTATGCCAATTTCTTCCCCTGTCCCTAGTAACAGCTCCAGAAGTCTTTGCGAAAGTTAACCCAGTCCAGACTCCTTCTCCGGCGTTTCTAAAGTACCGTAAAAACTCGTGTATAAGCCGCACTCGTGTATAAGCCGCACCCCCAACTTTCAAGCATGATTTTGAAAAAAAAAAAACCAAAAATGCGCTTTTGTAAAAAAGGTGATCGTTTGTTCGCGCATCAAAATGTTCACAAATAAACTTGAGGAATTGGAATTGGAGTCCATTACGAGTTGTAATGAGGTACATGTACCTTTCTTTTGCATGCACATGCTGTGTTGTTTCAGTGTTTCCTGAATCTGACTCACAGAGGTTTTTGTGATGGAATAAAATATTTTACCATAAGTAAAATTCTTGCACGATGATTAGTCGAGAGCTATTTTCCATAAGAGTACAGACCAATTTACAGACCATGGAAATGACGTCATGGTGGCGCAATTTGTTTCTTTCTTTCTCGCGCTCGCGATTCTCCGAGAAACTTCAATGGAAATGGACGTCATGAAAACTTTCAATGTCACTATGAACTTTGCAGTGAAACTTTTGATATTGTTGTACGAGCAATTGCTTATTTTTGGGCTGTATTTGGAGAATTTTAAATCATTCATTTTATTATTATTATTATTATTATTATTTATTTATAGTTTTTTATATATTTATATTCATTTATTTATTGCTAGTCTGAGTGAGAAGAAAAGTCTAGGGCAATATTTTTCTTAGTCAAAACAAACAAATTATTACATACTTTAAAATTGAAGAGGCGAATCCTGTAAAAATTCAAATAATTATGATGATTTGTTCGAAGTTAAATCCATTCAATCGAATGTTAATTGTCTTCGTCAAAATGCAAAGAAAACAAAACAACCTCATTTCTCCGTGTTAAGATTGTAATCCTGACACAGTAATCTTGATGCTGCTTGAATGGTTGACACGGCAGCAGTTCATATTGGAGTTATGGAAGCACTTAAGTTTCACATCTAGCATATGTGATTCTGAACACTGCTTGACCAGATCTACACTTTCATTTAAGGCCTGATATCACAAGTAAGACAAGCATAACCATGAGGCTAAGCAAAAGATTGAGCTGTGGTCATAACCGTAAGCATTAACGCTAAAATAGTTAAAACTTGTGCATCCTCCTTCTTCACATGTTATTTGCTTTTAATTAGGAATTGTTTGACATGAGCACTAGTACAAATATGAGTGTTTAATAAAGAGGGGGTGATAAAAGAGGCAAACTCCTCTTCTTCAGCCGAGTTTTCTTTAATCAGTTCTTGATGGCAACATTAGAGGTACCCAAATTCTATGCTTCGTGCCGTTTATAAAACAAGCAGGAGTGTATTATCAGGTTTTAAAACTTGAGGTAAAGCTGACAGATTTTAAACTTGATAATACACGACTGAGAGTTTTTCGAATGGCTTCAAAATTTCTGAT